GGGACTCAGACACAGCCTCCATCTTTAAGTCTAGGCTAAAAACTTACCTGTTTAGTCGAGCCTTTGGTTAATTTGTTTTCTAACTATGTCCCTCTCATCCCCCCTCCCCCCTACCCCCCCCCTTCCCCCTCCCCCTCTCTTTCCCTGAGCTGAGCGGCTGCCTGTCCTAAGAGGGTCTGACCTGAGATGCGGCCGGCGCACTGCACAGTGGTGTTAAACTGTATCCACTTATACTGTTTTGTGTCTGTCCTCTTATCCGGTGTTGACCAGAGGAGGATGGGTTCCCCTTTTGAGTCTGGTTCCTCTCAAGGTTTCTTCCTCCTGTTGAGGGAGTTTTTCCTTGCCACTGTCGCCAAGGCTTGCTCACTGGGGGACCCGGATTCTCTGTAGAGCTGCTTTGTGACAACATCTGTTGTAAAAGGCGCTATATAAATAAATTTGACTTGACTTGACACTTTTACCTGCTGTGTGAACAAAGCCAAATTCCCCAGCTGTGATCCTTAGAGATTCTTTGGCCACTCGCTCCATCCTCCTCACTGCGCTTGGGGTCAATATAGACAAACTTCTTAACTATTGCTCTGATACTGGAAACGTACTGATATAAGCGAGTTTGATAATGACTTTGTGCGGGAGAAAGCAGCGTCCTGCCCGTGTTACTCAGCGGAGTTCCTCAGTAACTGATCATAGCGTGACGGCGCTGACTCTGTAAGGACAGGAAGACAGCCTGCACATCGTTCACATTCGAGTCATGTCCTGTTAGCATTCGCGCCGCCACTCCTGGCCTTTATCAAGTGCCTCAAATAAGCTTAAGATGCTGAGTAGAAACTTTGTGAGAAGACAGGCATATGTATGTACATCAGGACAGGTATGTATATGGGAGAAGGAGCTGTGCAGTGTGCAAGCAGTGGATTTGAAATTAAACAGAGAAGGCAATTCAAATACAGTGCGAAAATACAAAAGATTTGGAAATGATAAAAATAACAATAACAATAGTCAAGTTTAAGATCTCACTGATGAAAAGTATCGTTTAAAATCCATTTCCCTCTGTTACAGTTACAGTTCTTCACCAGTGAATTTCGGGCTATTTTAGCCGTGACCCCTCCGTCCCGTCTCACCGAAACTCACTACAGAGCGGCCTTCTTTACATTTCAAGTGACGTGACCTTCATAAGGGAACTTACTATTGAAAGGTAGCTGTCCCAAATCCTAACATCCTAAATTTCAGCTTGTGAAAATAATACAAATACATTTTTCGCTCTTCGTCTTCAGAGATGTTTTTTATTTCTTTTGGCAGATTAACATTTATCAAGAGTTTCGTTTTTAAATTAAAAACTTTATTCAAAAAATGCTGTCCCACATTTTCACATCAGTACAGAAACACAAAGTTTGTCAATAGCAGGAAGTGAGGCTGCATCCCCACATGGTGAGCAGTTAGATCCCGTAGTTTTGAAGTAAATGTGTTCAAACGTCTAAAAATCAGTGTTGAACATCAAGAATTGTCACTGCCGAAACATATTTTCTGCAGTTAAGTACTTTTTTGTGTTTTAATGTAAAATGTTGTGATTTTATGTGTGAACAGCTGTTCAGAACTATGTTTGCTAGTCATGTACTGGCTAGTGTTTTTGAGTTCCATTCAAAATTAGCTAGAATGGTCACTACCGAAACATTTGGTAAAGTTTCGATAGTGTGATTGTTTTGGTAGTGACAAAATGGAACGTTCAGTCATTTCTTTTAGTAATATAAACATACTTAAGGTATCGGGTCGCTCAGAGCCAAAGAATTTTAGATTAAATACCAGCTAAAAATCCAAAATGTGTTTTCAGCTCTGACTTTGAACCAAACTGTGTTTGCTAGTCATGTGCACAAAATTAGCTAGAATTGTCACTACCGAAACAGTCACTACTGAAACATTTGGTAAAGTTTCGATAGTGTGATTGTTTTGGTAGTGACAAAATGGAACGTTCAGTCATTTCTTTTAATAATATGAACATAATTATGCCATAGCAACATTCAAAACAAAAGGATTTTAGTCTAAAGTTCAAGCTCGAAATATATTTTGACCTCTGACTTCGAACCAGTCTGACAGAATGATCACATTTTGTGTTTTTGCATCTATGTGCCTCACAAACTGCATGTTTAGGTGCAAGTAGTTAGTGCTTCACTGTATTTTACAGAAGGTCCAACTGATAGAAGGAGCCTCCAGGCCTCTCCGACCTAAATAAGATCACAGCGGTGGACGGCGACTCGGGGCTTCCCGCAGCATAGAGGCACGACGACGTGAAGGGGAAGGTCGTGTGAGGCTGGGGGAGCTGGCTGACCCTCACACAGCCTTGAGTACGGGTTAACTGCACACTTCTGCTCCTATGATTAGCCTTCTGTCAGCTCGTGAAATGTGTACTCGACTTGCCCAAATTGCAGCTCTCTTCCCCTCCGTCCCTGAGGAGAGTCCCGCGGGATTTGCTTGTTGTTGCTGCGTTCTCCACCTAAACGTCGCTACGAGGACTGAATCGTTTCGGGGTTTTGTTTCAACAACGAGCACTTGCTGTAAAGAGATTCGCAAAACATAACGGAACCAATCCGTGACGAATGATCCCTCTCCAGGGACCAGAGGCATTTGCATAAGAGCCTGGGACTCTTTCCCTGCTTAACTGCGGTTATATTCCCCGTGCCTTTTGAAGTGATGCTCCCGCCAACCCCCCCTCCCCTATTCTCTCGTCTGTCCTGAGAGATGAGGTTCTGAAAGGCCCATTAAGAGGAGGTGACGAGGTGAGCAGATAGTGACAGAGGAGTGAGGCGATGGCGAAGGCTCAATAGATCCTCCACACTGCAGCCGGGTAATTGCTCATCTTTGGATGTGTGTTTTAAAGGCTTTCGGGTTCTTTTCAAAGAGTGAGACGTCTGAAAAGAGGCTTTCAGTGCCTCAGAGAATGGCTCTGTTGCTTAAAACCATTTTGTAAAAACAGAATATCATATCTTTAGCCTAATGGACTGAACGCATTCAATACATTTTAAGTAAGTGCTGCAGGGTGAGCTTGAGATCTGCGCCACATTTTACCATTTCCATTCGATATCTGCCAGTCTGTAACTCCAAAATTACCGCAGTGGTCTATCATTTGTCTCATTATCTCTTTCCTTGAACATCTGCGCAATTTTGCCCACCATTGTACTTTTACAGCCACATAAATTAGGTAAGATATGCTAGTCTGGGAAGTAATACTGCAGTAAATTACTTCATTTTTATCATGTGCATAATGTGATATTCTGGACTGGTATGTTTTGTTTTTTGGCCTACTTTTTTAAATGCCCATTTTAATCTTGTAAACATGCTATGAATTCATATTTCAGTTCATGCATGCAGTAGCTGCTGCTTTCTCTTAGTTTTGAATTGCTGTTAAGCACGTTTTTATCCCCATAAAACAAAATGTTTGTGTGATACTTTCATTTTTAACCCGTCTTGACTTGTGAGTGAAAAACGTTGAAGGTGCATACTTTCTGTATGGTTTGTTCACAAGAAACAGCAGAACAGACTTGAATAACTGCGCGCTCATATTTTGCGTGCCCATGTTTACATGAACGTTGGCTTGTTCAAAAAGTGTTGAAACGCAGAGATTGCAGATGTTACAAGTTTTAATTTTCTTGTTCAGAATATTCCAAACTGCAGACATTAGATCTCTTTGTTATCTTCTGAAAACGTGTCTCAAAGAGCCATGTTGTCCTTTCCACAGAAATCAAACCACCTTGGGAGCGCAACATTTTATGTCCATTTTGCCGTCTTGGCTGTAAATATGTCTCAGTATGTGCTAATATCTTAGTATAGGCTAAAAATATAATATAAACAAAAACGCAGACTTACTTTGCTCTGCTTTAAGCTTTAGCTCAGCTATAGCTGCTTTTCTCGCATCTCCAGCAGGAAACTTTTCCTCAAAAGTAGAACAGTTTCTTGTAAAACGTCTCTCAACGTTCAACTTTTTACGAGGCTGAAGTCGTTTCTCATTCACCAGCTTCTTGCTCGAATATTCCCGTTCCACCTTAAATGGTGCCTGAGGCACCAGAATGTAACTGCTGTGCCATTTAAGGTGGAACAGGAAAATTCAAATGAGAAGCTGCAGAATGACTTTTTAGTGTTTGTCAGTTTCTCGTTGCAGATTAAACGTATCAGGAAACCAGCTGGAGTGATTATAAACACTAATAAGTCCATTCCTCCCCAAATTATCGATGTTCGTCTTAAATCTCTCTCTTTGCCGTTTCGTTAGCTACTAGCTAGGTGAGACTGTTGTCTGTGTTGCTATGGTGACCAGCAGTCTGAGCTGATCTTCAGGGTTAAAGGGTGAATCAGCAGTTCTACATTAACTCCAGAGTTTAAGACCATTTATTGTTAAACTGTGTTGAACGATCAGCAGAGCTTTATTTTACTGTAAAGGAGGATTATTTTATTTTTACCTACAAATCTAATTCAGCTGTGGAGCCGCAACAGGGCAGTGAAAGAGCCGCATGTTTCCGATCCCTGACCTATACAATGATAGCATATATGCAAAAAAGACAAGAAGGATCGGAAGTGGAGAGGGGCTTAATTTTAAGCAATACTCTGTCCATTAAAATAGGCCTGGATTGGCCCTGATCCTGATCCACCGGGACATCGCTATTTTAGACTTTATCTTAAAAACACTTTCAGTCAGACAGTCTATCACAAGATTATGAAGGGAATCTTAATTCTTTCTGTTAAGTCTGAAGAGAAGAAAATATAATTTAAGCAGATTAAAGAAATGCGAGAATTTGGCCCACACATTGTACTTTGATATCTACCTTTTAATGTACCGCTTCATTTATGGATTGTCTTCCCCATTGCTCTGTAATTTTTCCATCTTCCAAATTTAGCATTCCAGTTCTCCCAACTGCCATACTGAGATTCAAAAGGAATATGGGGCCTGTTGTAAGACTTAAACCCCCCTTAGAGTCTATCAGTCTCTGAATGGTCTCTGTTTTTCCTGTGTTTGTTTGAAGGCGACACTACAGTCCCTACGCGGCATACTCCCGCAGCAAGCTGGCCCAGGTCCTGTTCACCTATCAACTCCAGCAGGAACTCCAGTCTGGTGGCTTTGCTGTGACGGCCAACACTGTGGACCCTGGCATGGTGGACACGGATCTGTACCGCAACTTGAGCACCCCTGCCTGGCTGGCACAAAGGCCTATAGCCCGCTTGCTGTTCAGGGTACGATACTGCTGCATGTGCTCTAGTGCAAGAATTCTCAACTCCACTGTCCTGGAGACCCACTGCCATGCACAGTTACAACTATTCCATACCTTCAACACGCCTGATCCAGCTCATGAAGGCCTTTGTTATGGGCAGGGAATACTCTGCAGGGCAGTGGTTCACCAGGATTGGAGCTGGGAACCATAGCACAAGTGTGTTGTTGGTTCTTGTCACAACCAAGTGTTTTGCTCCCTGATAGCCCAGTCCAGTTCTTGACAGTAGGAGCTGTATAGACTAGTCAAATGGTTGAGGAGAGTGCCTTAAATGCAGCATCAGTAAAAACTGCAGTAAACAAGCAGGAGAACAGAACAGAAATCTGTTTTTCTGCAAAAGAGAAAAGTATTTAAAGTACTTCATTTGCGTAGAAACACTGAATGAGGGAAACCTCCACTGCAACCTGCGTAAGACCGGTCCGAAATGCAGCTTCGCAAACTAGAGCAGGTTTCAAGAACTCCCATTTTGATAGGAAGCGGCTGTTTGACTGACAAAACAACCAATCACAGAACATTTAGCACAACGTATGCACAACGAAAACAAAGTTGTGTTGAATAAAGTGGAGGACTGTTTGACAAACGCACAAGGATATCTTGTTTCCTTGGTACCTACAGCTTCAAACTAAATTCAGGACTAACTTCCTAAAACAGAATGGCGTGAATGCGATCTGGTTCAGTGATTATATCTCAGCTTATTGCTGAGTAAAGATGCATCTACTTTTTTGCTACTAGCATTTAGCTTGATTAGCAGTTATTTATTTCCCATCATACTGATAAAACCTGTGCTTGGAAGCACAGATATTCAGAGCCAGATTAAATTCTCTGTGCAAGGTGAGATTCTGAGAGCTGTTGTGATTTTAGCGTGCAGTTTACATCAGACAGTCTTTATACTTCTGAGGGCTGAGAGACTAAAACTCCCTGAAATACAGTAAAATTTGTCTGCAGTGCAAACCTGGACCCTCAAAACACCCTAAGAGCAAAAGGAGAAACTCCCTAAGTGCAGAAAGGAGATTTGCAGAAAATTCTTTGCGGAACAATGGAAAACCACAGCATCTGCTGCCCCCCGACTCAATAGGAGAACCTCTCTAAGATCATGAGGAAGAACCACTGAGAGGAACCAAGACTCAAAAGGAGAAACTCCCTAAGAGCATGAGGAAGAACCACTGAGAGGAACCAAAACTCACAAGGAGAAACTCCCTAAGTGCATGAGGAAGAACCACTGAGAGGAACCAAGACTCCAAAGGAGAACCTCCCTAAGTGCATGAGGAAGAACCACTGAGAGGAACCAAAACTCACAAGGAGAACCTCTCTAAGAGCATGAGGAAGAACCACTGAGAGGAACCAAGACTCAAAAGGAGAAACTCCCTAAGAGCAAGAGGAAGGACCAGTGATAGGAACCAAGACTCAAACGGAGAAACTCTCTAAGAGCAAGAGGAAGAACCACTGAGAGGAACCAAGACTCAAACGGAGAAACTCTCTAAGAGCAAGAGGAAGAACCACTGAGAGGAACCAAGACTCAAACGGAGAAACTCTCTAAGAGCAAGAGGAAGAACCACTGAGAGGAACCAAGACTCAAACGGAGAAACTCTCTAAGAGCAAGAGGAAGAACCACTGAGAGGAACCAAAACTCACAGGGAGAAACTCCCTAAGTGCATGAGGAAGAACCACTGAGAGGAACCAAGACTCCAAAGGAGAACCTCCCTAAGTGCATGAGGAAGAACCACTGAGAGGAACCAAAACTCACAAGGAGAACCTCCCTAAGAGCATGAGGAAGAACCACTGAGAGGAACCAAGACTCCAAAGGAGAACCTCCCTAAGTGCATGAGGAAGAACCACTGAGAGGAACCAAGACTCCAAAGGAGAACCTCCCTAAGTGCATGAGGAAGAACCACTGAGAGGAACCAAAACTCACAAGGAGAAACTCTCTAAGAGCATGAAGAACCACTTAGAGGAACCAATACTTAAAAGGAAAAATACCCTAACAACATGAAGAAGAACCAGTGAGACGCAAACAGGATGACTAGATACTGGACACAGTGAACTCAAACAGGATGTTACATTAATCAAATCCACAAGATGTGAGATGAGCATGAATCACATGTTTATTAGCATCGTTTCCCAAACCCGGCATCTTCCTCTCCGAGGCTCAGAGGGAGAAACTCCCTAATGGCAAAAGGAGAAAATCCCTAAGAGCAAAAGGAGAAACTCCCTGTGAGCAGAATCTGGGGAGATTTGCAGAAGCTTATTTGCGGAACAATGGAGCATAATTTTTCTATTTTCTCATTGTTTGGCCGGAAGACGTGGCCGTGTTTGTTGCATATCTTAACTGTTTGTGCCCATGGCGAACATCATCTGCAGAAAGAGCTGATTTAAGATGGCATGTGTTTTATATGATTAATCATTCGGGCGGTTCCCTTAACAAATGACCTTTTGCGAGGCTTCTGCCCTGCAACCATAAGCGCACCATTCATCAAACATGGATGTGATTTCCAAAGCCATTACAGCCACAGAGAATCGGAGGAGCTTTTATGTGCAGAAGATGAGTTGTTTTGACCTTGTAGTTATGTCGTCCCCTCCAAAGGCACAAGAGCTTATTACTTTTAGAGTACAGTCAGAAGAAAAGTCCCACAGTTAAATAGGGTTGGGTGATGTCCACCAACCCAGGAGACGGCAACCCAAATGTTAAGAAGAGCCATTTTGTCCTCTCAACAAAAATCACACCACTTTGGGAGCCACAACATTTTCTGTCCATTTTATTGTAGCAATATTTTACCATCTTGGCTGTAAATATGTCTCAGTATGTGTTAAAGTCCTAGTATAGGCTAAAAAATATAATGTAAACAAAAACACAGACTTACTTTGCTCTGCTTTAAGCTTTAGCTCAGCCATAGCTGCTTTTCTCGCATCTCCAGCAGGAAACGTTTCCTCAAAAGTAGAACAATTTCTTGTAAATTGTTTCTCAACTTTTGATTTTTTATGAGGCTGAAGTCGCTTCTCATTCGCCAGCTTTGTGTTCGAATTCTCCTTTTCCACCTTAAATCTCAGCCTGAGACCCCAGAATGTAACTGCTGTACCTTTTAAGGTGGAATGGAACAATTCGAACGAGAAGCTTCATGACTTTTTAGTGTTTAACAGTTTCTCGTTGCAGATTAAACGTATCAGGAAACCAGCTGGAGTGATTATTAACACTAATAAGTCCATTCGTCTCCAAATTATCGATGTTCGTCTTAAATCTCTCTCTTTGCCGTTTCGTTAGCTACTAGGTATGCGAGATTATTGTCTGTGTTGCTATGGTGACCAGCAGTCTGCGCTGATCTTCAGGGTTAAAGGGTGAATCAGTAGTTCTACATTAACTCCAGAGTTTAAGACCATTTATTGTTAAACTGTGTTGAACGATCAGCAGAGCTTTATTTTACTGTAAAGGAGGATTATTTTATTTTTACCCTACAAATCTGATTCTGCTGTGGAGCCGCAACTGGGCGGTAAAATAGCCGCATGTTTCCGACCCCTGGCCTAACCAAACCTCCAGATATTACTGTGTGGACGGTATTGGCGTCTCGTCCTGCGTTATTTTACAATCAAAAACAATCAAAAGGTTTAGTCGACTAACATGGTCACCAAATAAGTACACAGTGCACGATTTTTAAGCCATCGCTCAAGAAATATCAAACCATCTAACTAACAATTGCTGAATGTTAAACAGTGCTGCTGACTCGTAGAGAAAAGCTGACAGCGTAGCTACACACTTGAAAAAAAGATGGTTCTATAAAGAACTATAAACAATCAAAGAACCCTTTGCATTATTGAAAGGGTTCTTCAGAAATTGAGTGTTCACCATTTTAAAAAGGGTTCTTCTATTGTTACGATGTCAAGCCTGTAACAATAGAAGAATCCTTTTTGGGTGCTATATAGAACCCATTTTAAAAAGGTTCTATATAGAACCATGAACACTCAATGTGCTGTAGATGGTTCTATATAGAACCTCTTTGAAAATGTCAAACTTGTAACAATAGAAAACTCCTTTTAGTGCTATATGGAACCCTTTTCAAAAAGGTGCTATATAGAACCATATACAACACATTCTCCATCAGTCTGAAGAACCATTTCATGATGCAATGAAACTTTTAATAATGCATATTGTCCTTTGGTTGTTCATGGTTCTTTATAGAACCATTTTCTTTACTAAAGAACCCTTGAAGAACCATCTTTTTTAAGAGTGTAGCATGACAACAGCTCTGCTAACCATACACACTAAAACAGATGGTTCTTTCAGGGGACTTTACTAAAGACAATGGTTCTATATAGAACCATGAACAACCAAAGGACACTATGCATTATTAAAAGTTTCATTGCATCATGAAAGTGTTCTTCAGAATGTACTTAGGGGTTCTATATAGAACCTTTTTGAAAAGGCTTTTTTATAGCCACAAAGGGTTCTTTTATTGTTATGATGCCAAACTTGTAACAATAGAAAAACCCTTTTTGGTGGTATATAGAACCATCTACAGCACATTCTCCATCAATCTGAAGAAGAACCCTTTAATCATGCAAAGGGTTCTTTGCATGTTCATGGTTCTTTATAGAACCATTTTCTTTACTAAAGAACCCTTGAAGAACCATCTTTTTTAAGACTGCAGTGATAACAGCTCTGCTTACCATACACACTTAAAACAGATGGTTCTTCTGGGGGTCTTTAGTAAAGAAAACTCTCAAAGAACACTTTGTGTGATTAAATGGTTCTTTGCATGGTGAAATGGTTCTTCAGATTGATGGAGAATGTGTTGGATATGGTTCTATGTAGCACCTTTTTAAAAAGGATTCTACATGGCACCAAAACGTTTTCTGCTATTGTTACAAGCTTGACATCATAACAATAGAAGAACCGTTTTTGGGTGCTATATAGAACCCTTTTCAAAAAGGTTCTATATAGAACCATCTTCAGCACATTCTCCATCAATATGAAGTACCTTTTCACCATGCAAAGAACCTTTGAAGAACCATCTTTTTTAAGTATTTAGAACGTTGGATTCTCGCAGGCTGAAGCACCAACACAGGTTTAGATGATGATGATAAAAATCTGTAAAATGATTTTTAAAAAATGTAAATCTAAATGTGCCATAACTTTTGCACAGGCCGTATTTTATGTTTTATTTTTTCCCCAATATATTAAATTCAGCAAATAAACAGTAGTTGTGCATTAAACTGTGCAGAAATGCATTCTCTGTAGAGATTATATTCACTTATTTTCACTAGAAAATCAACTTTAGTCAACATATTATTTGACCAGGGGCGCCCAAACTTTTGTAAACGACTGTAACTACCACAGACAGTTTTCTATGCATGACAAGCTGTATTGTGAATATTTTAAATTAGATGCAAAGTGATTGTTTTCTATTTATAGTGCATCAGGCCACTGAAGAAGGCACAGCAGTATGAAAACAGTTTTGGACTTATGGCTTAGTGCTCTTTGAGGAGCTCCTCAGAAGACCCTCCTGAATCAGACGCTGTAACTAATGCATATTATACATAACAGCTAATAAACAGCAGCCAGAAGGCAAGAGCAGCACAAACTAAACCACACAGACGTCTCATTTCCACAGAAAAGCAAACTCCCTATTGCAATTCATTAGGTCAGAGAGACTGTTTGACCAAATATGCGGCGCAGTGAACTGATTTGATCTTTGACATACTTTTCACCTCACGCTTCTCTTCGCCATGGCTGGAAAAGAAGCGCTTTGCTGCCATAATGTGTACTACAGATCTACACTCACTGGCCTCTATATTAGAAACACCTACGCTGTGCTTCCACTCACTGGCCACTTTATTAGAAACACCTACCGCAGCTAATGCACAGAGGAAGCATCGCAGAAAAGCACAGATGAACACTACACTCTACTCTTATAGATATATCTTATAGATACTTTTAATGGAATAAACTTTTAACATCATTTAGAAAATTAATCAGGTTTGCTATTAACTAATTTCCAAGATACAAGATGAAACACAGTGTGACTAGACTTATAAGGTGATGTTTCTAATAAAGTGGCCAGTGAGTGGAAGCTCAAGGTGGGTGTTTCTAATAAAGTGGCCAGTGAGTAAAAGCACAAGGTAGATGTTTCTAATAAAGTGGCCAATGAGTGGGAGGACATGGTAGGTGTTTCTAATAAAGTGGCCAGTGAGTGGAAGCACAAGGTAGGTGTTTCTAATAAAGTGGCCAGTGAGTAAAAGCACAAGGTAGATGTTTCTAATAAAGTGGCCAATGAGTGGGAGGACATGGTAGGTGTTTCTAATAAAGTGGCCAGTGAGTGGAAGCACAAGGTGGGTGTTTCTACTAAAGTGGCCAGTGAGTAAAAGCACAAGGTAGATGTTTCTAATAAAGTGGCCAGTGAGTGGGAGGACATGGTAGGTGTTCCTAATAAAGTGGCCAGTGAGTGGAAGCACAAGGTAGGTGTTTCTAATAAAGTGGCCAGTGAGTGGAAGCACAAGGTAGGTGTTTCTAATAAAGTGGCCAGTGAGTGGAAGCACAAGGTAGGTGTTTCTAATAAAGTGGCCAGTGAGTGGGAGGACATGGTAGGTGTTTCTAATAAAGTGGCCAGTATGTCTGTTGGGCAGCTGCAGGTCTGAATCGTGGACGGGTACATTGCCGGCCCTAGTGCTGTGGCTACAGCTGGGGAAGTGTCGGATTGACAGGCAGTCGAGGCCTTGGGCATTCTGACCACACCACCTGCTCCAGCAGGCCACTTATAGCAGCAACACAAACACAGGGGACCCAGAGGCTGTCCATTCCAAGACAGGACGAGTGTGATACTCAGACAATGGGACAGGTCTGTGCCTTTTGGCTGCTGTCACTTTATCCCGGGCTCTGCCATTCAAATTGGCTTGTTTTTTGAAGAAAACAATCTTCAACCAAAGGTTGACATCAGGAGAAGGACATTTAAGAACGAGAGACCCAAACAACATCTCTGTGGTCAGAAACTGACCTCTGATATAGGAGTAGACACACACTGTGCTGTCAGCAGATGGGCTGTGAGCTTTTTGGCTGCTTCAAGGCCTCTGTCACTCCATCCTGGACCGTGTCGTCCTAATTGGCTTGTTTTTGTATAATAAATCTTTGACTTTAAAGTTGATGTCAGAAGAAGGGCATCTCAAGACTTCGTTGCTAACATAATACGCTCTTCATCTCGTCCAGGCTTGACAGTCTAGAATATTCCGCCAGAGGTTAAGACTGATTCTCAGACTCAATCTATCTGTGGCAGGAGGAGCTTATCAGTTAAAGCCGTAAGCCTGCAAAATGAGCGGGCTTTACATATTTTTGCAAGCTGCTGACTGTGAGGTTCACTGGCACCTCTGATGGATCTTAAGTAGCAGAGATTAACAGGAGGACTCAAACGCCCTGAGAGAACCTGACAGGAGAAGGTTTATTGTGGAGCAGTGTAGCAGCAGGTGAGAAAGGCTGAGGGCCTGAAGCTGTTTACTTTACCCTCGTTGTGTTATAGTGATGGAAATTCCAGGCAGTCGCATTGAATGACAGAGAGGACGATAGGATATCCTGTACACCGGTCAGGCATAACATTATGACCACCTCCTCGTTTCAACGCTCATTGTCCATTTTATCAGCTCCACTTACTATATAGGTGCACTTTGTAGTTCTACAGTTACAGACTGTAGTCCATCTGTTTCTCTGATACTTTGTTAGCCCCCTTTTATCCCTGTTCTTCAGTGGTCAGGACCCCCATGGACCCCCACAGAGCAGGTACTATTTGGGTGGTGGATCATTCTCAGCACTGCAGTAACACTGACGTGGTGGTGGTGTGTTAGTGTGTGTTGTGCTGGTCTGAGTGGATCAGACACAGCAGACACCTCAGTGTCGCTGCTGGACTGAGAATAGTCCACCAACCAAAAATATCCAGCCAACAGCATCCTGTGGGCAGCGTCCTGTGACCACTGATGAAGGACTAGAGGATGACCAACACAGACTGTGCAGCAGCAGATGAGCTATCGTCTCTGACTTTACATCTACAAGGTGGACCGACAAGGTAGGAGTGGACAGTGAGTGGACTGCTGTGTCTGATCCACTCAGACCAAACTAAAATCAACACCAAACAAAAATAAAAATTAAAAATTTCAGTATGATATCAGCTGTTTTTGTGTCGTATACGCTTCCATTACTTGTTAGCTTAACTACATTAGCCTTGTAGCTCCAGTGTAAGCAAACTTCAGGCACCAGCCACCTCTTGGTCTGTATTTGGAGTAACTGTGTAAAGTTTTTCGCTACACTGTCCTTTAAAAAGTTTTGTTCTCTCCACAGACGGCGTCACAGGCTGCAGGTACAGCCGTGTTTGCGGTGGCGTCTCCGGAGCTGGAAGGCACCGGCGGGTGTTACCTGTACGAAGGAAAGCGTGTCCAGTCCTCTGCGGCCTCATACGATGCAGAGCTTCAGGCTCGGCTGTGGAGAACCAGCTGCGGCCTGCTAGGACTGCCGGAGTCCCTGTTAGCGTAGCGCGGCTAACGTCAGCAGCAAAGCGGTTTGTCTGTGAAGGACGGATCGCCTGGTCCGATCAAAGCCCTGTTTTTTGTTTTTGCTTTCCTTTCCTGGAATATTCCATTCAGTATTATTTTGTGTTGACAATCTCTCCATACCGACAGACTGTGATTGGCTGCAATACGTGGGAGAATTCACGGATACGGAGGAAACGTTTTTACTAGGATTCATTCGTTTTTCGAGAAGAAGGGCTCGACGCATTTGGGAGGATTGCTGGGACTTCCCCTCCCGCACTGTGACTGTATGTGTGTGTACGTGTGTGTAAAACTGCTGTAGCTGCCCTTCGATCTTCCAAACGAAAAGAAGAAGCACTTTGCCTGGACAGGTACGCCACCTGTGTCGGCTCTTCTCGTCAACCCGTCGCGTCGCGTTTCCCACGAAGCGTCCATCTCTGTGTTGTACCGCTGTCGTCTCGACGTTCACCTGCGAACGGCGCAGCCACCGTTTACGTTGTCGTCTCTTGTGCATCGTGAATGCTCGTCGGTGTCCTTTTTAATAAGGTTACGTATTCGGATTTCTTTTCACTGCAAAGCTTCGAACGGACGAATGTTTTGTTCATGTTTTCCGAACTCTGCGAGGGGTTACATTTTTGACTATAAATTATTTTTTAACATTTACAGAGAAGGAAGCCATTGAGGGTTAGGCCCGAGCTGTTTGTCTGTAGATAGCCAATAAATAACTTTTATCCAACTTTTTTTAATTCTTATGGTGGTTCATTCTTAAAATTCCATAGACTTTTCCAAATTTCTGCGTAATTCAGTGGTTGAGATGCAAACAAAATCATTCAGAGCGGTTTGATGTGAAATTGTTCATTGTAGAGACTCAGAAAAATAAAATAAAACAAAATATCCATTTTATTTACTATCCAGAACCACCAGTGAACCTACACGAGTCTTCTGAGTTTATATGGAATGTTGATGATGGAAAATAGTGGAAAATCTGAAATAATACATTTTCTTTGGGGACTATTTTGCCTCACAACACCCTGCATGTATCCATCCACAATGAATGGAATGGAATACTGTCTTTACCATCAGGCAGAGTATTCATAACCAGCTTTTAAGGGTGAATGTCTGGTTCCTGTCACCACCACTGTGAACAATTCTGACTCAAACCACTCTGTATGACTTACATCTTAATCATTTAATAATGCAGAAAGCTTGAAAAATCAGTGGAATTCTCCTATAATTCCTGTGGTTTCCCTGGATTGCTGCAATAACAGAGCTAATGAGGCATCACTGTGCTATAAAACCAATAAAATCCAGCAATCATCGTCCTGTTGTCACTGTTGCCCTCGTAGATACGTCCAGATCTCTTTTAGGTATTACACATTTCCTTAAATGGAGCCAAAGTGAATGTAGCTGGTTCTGCGGCTGGGTAATGCAGGCCCACAGATGGAACAGGTGGCACTTTCAAAAACTGGCCTGTCCTGCGTCCATTCACACAGTGAAGCTCCAGGGAAGCTGTACCTGCACTACGGCCTGACCAGTATGACAGTGTCACTAATACCGATACCAATTTTAAAAAGTAGAAGTTCCAGTAACCAGTAATAAATAATATATCATCACTGTTCAAAAAATATGTATTTTATTACTTTTCTATATCACTTCAAACCAGCAGCTGCACTTTACATGTGGAAATTGATGAATGGACTAATAGAAATGCTCAAAAAAAAAGAACAGGCCAATAGAAATGCTCCAAAAAAAAAAGAACAGGCCAATAGAAATGCTTCAAAAAAAAAAAGAACAGGGCAATAAAATTGCTCCAAAAAAAGAACGGGCCAATAAAAATGCTCCAAAAAAAAAATGGGCCAATAGAAATGCCCTAACCCCCCCTCCCAAAAAATGGGCTAATAGAAATGCTCCAAAATCACTCTGAATAAAATCTCATTACATTAACTTTCCTTCTCCTGTGAAATTACTATTTTGGAGATACAGGTTAACGATATATATACGGCCATGTGCAAAAGTTTAAGTACCCGCCAATCAAAGGACTTATATAAAATGTGCCATAACTTTAGCTTTTAATGTAAGTCAACGGAACCAGAATTTTTTCCAAGGCATTTTGGGTAATTTTTTTTGGTCCATTCATCATGAAATTTACTCACAATGTAAAGAACAACAGGCAATTTTAAACGATGTCAAAAACTGAAAAAAACGAAAAATGGAGATGCGAGGTTTTGTTCAGACAGCAGCGAGATATATAAATATTAGCGTCAGCATTTTTACCAATGCTGATAAATTCTTATTATAAAATCTTATTATAAGGAAAACGATATATTGGTTGGGCCCTAATCTGTACTCATCTTTCAGCATGTTTGCAGTTTCTAATCATTCAAAGCAGGAAAATATATATTTTAATTGGTTGGAAAGTGCAGAACATGAATTTCATCTTTCTTGCTAATACAGTATTCAACTTCATTTTGCTTTTGTCTTTTACTGTAAAGATCCTCAAATATTGATCAATACTGTAACTGAACTAGCTACGACATGCTAGCTAAGCTGCCTTCATGGATCGTGGACCGTAAGACACACGGCTGAGGTTATATCATAATGGGACCACCGCTAGACCACCTAAATCAGCTCGCTGCATTTCTCCTCTGTGATAGAGAGATCTGTCTGCCCTGAAATGTTATTGAACTTTTGGCTGAACAAATCAGTCTTTTCGGGTTTACAGCTCAGGAGAAATATCTTGTGACCTCTGTGGTTTCTTGCATCATCTGAGTGTCCGAGCTCCGCGAAGCCCCGAGGAGCTGTCATAAATTTGGGCTCTCGCTCAAGGAGGGACTTTATTGTCCTCTTGTTTTCATTTCCAAAGCAAAGTGAGCCAAAAAGCCCCAGAACGTAAGATGCAGCGCAAGCAGACCTGGGTTCCGCTTATCTAGTTCATCCCGGGGCTCGGCACGCCCTCGCTTCGGGTCATAATTCAGAATTATTGAGCGCGTTATTACTTTTGTGTCCGAACAAACGGAATCCTGTTGAAATGATCCCGCTTTGGGTTTCATAACATCATCTTTGCAGTCAGAAGCCTGGGAACAGGCCTCGAATCATGCTATAGGAATGCTGGCTGGTCTGAAGAAGTTGCGTAAACAGTACCATTCAAAAGTTTGGAATCACTGTTTTCAGTCACTGAGACTGAAGAAATGAGGAGAGGTGGAGATGCTTCTGTAATAACTGAGAAATCTGTAGTGCATTACAGAAAGCCTTGTATTTCAGTGGTGGTGAACGAAAATCGAGGCATAACTTGACAGGAAATTACCAAAAAAACCGTTTGTGAACAAACTTTAAGTTGGCTTGGCAAAGTCAGCTAATAATGCTTCAAACGTTAAAGGAGTTGCAGGACACTGTTGATTGTTTTTCGCAACTTTTTGGGTTCATATAGTAACTCTAGGCAACTGCCATAGTGCTGCTTGATAGTTGCTATGGATTTGGCACCTTGTTGTTAGGGCACTGAGCTTGCATTGTGGTGGATTAGTGGTTACTATGGTATTCCAGGTGGTTATTAAGGTATTTCTGTTGATATGGTGTCCAAGGTGGTTGCCAAGCTTTGCTAGACCATTGCTATGGTATCCCAGGTGGTTGCTAAGGTGTTTCTACTCTGTTGCTATGGTATCCCAGGTGGTTGCTAAGGTGTTTCTACTCTGTTGCTATGGCGTCCCAGGTGTTTGCTAAAGTTTGCTAGACCATTTCTGTGGTATCCCAATCGGTTATTAAGGTGTTTCTAGGCTGTTGCTATAGTATCCCAGGTGGTTGCTAAGGTTTTACTTGACTATTGCTATGGTATCCCAGGTGGTGGCTCACTTTCAGGATGTTAGGCATTCTCCCCATGCTGTCTTAAACTGTGTTTGAATGAACGCTGTACGAACACTGTCAAAAGTCAAATTGGTTAAAAAAGTACAGTCAGCCTATTCAGGTGTAGGCGCTACGATCGTGCACAGTTTTGTAGTTCTAGCTCAAAAGCTGTAGAAGGATTAGCAATGCAAGTTTTCAACTGTGGAATAATAATAATAAGAAGAAAACTAAGAAAAGTAAGTTGGCATTTTCAGTAACTTCTTGGTGTTCAAAACTTCAGATATTGAATAAATCCTCTACAAATCCTTTCTGGTGTCTAGTTTATAATATTTTACACAGTTCTACACAGTTTTATTATTGTATGAAGTCAATAAACTAGCAAAGTGATTATTAAATTAAACAGCGATTCCAAGTGATTCCAAACCTTTGAATGGTAGTGAATGTGACTCGAACGCTTCTATAAAAATGTATTGTCAATACTGTTTTTCAGTTTCAGACCAGATTTGGTGGACATGGACAGATCAAATGTAAAAGGAGTGGTTCAGTAGAAAATCTAATTTGCACAATTTTCCACTTACCCCAAATGTAGTTGAACAGCCGAGAGTACAACGCTAAATTTGCCAACACTAGAAGTCAAAAGTCACCCAAATCTTTTCAGTAAAACTTCTCTCAAACCGCTCAGACTGCAGCATCCAGGTCTTCATTAAGGTGCAGACTTGTTGACGTGATTTAGGACACAGTATTACATATTGTGAACTATAAAAATGAACAAAACATCACTGTATTGAACAGCTCAAGTCAAATCAGATGCCCCTTCGTGTGAACAAATGGACATTTTATGTCTATTTTACCATCTAAATATGTCTTAGTATGTGCGGAAGTTCTAGTATAGGATCAAAAATATAATAAAAATGAAAACTCAGCTATAGCTGCTTTTCTCACATCTCTGGCAGGAAGCCTCTTTGCAAAAGTAGAACAGTTTTTTGTAAAATGTCTCTCAACATCGATTTTACGAGGCTGAAATCGCTTCTCATTTGAATTTTCGGGTTCGAGAAGCAGGTTAAAGGGTGAATCAGCAGTTCTACATTAACTCCAGAGTTTAAGACCATTTATTGTTAAACTGTGCTGAACGATCAGCAGAGCTTTATTTTACTGTAAAGGAGGATTATTTTATTTTTACCTACAAACCTAATTCAGCTGTGGAGCCTCAACAGGACAGTAAAGAGCCTCAATGCTGAAACAGAAAATCACAGCGCTTGTCTGCCGTGATCCTTCAGTTATGAAGAGAACCATGATCATGTTCTTGATTTCTGTTTCTTTTTATAAATAACTGATCCGGTTGAGAGAAGTTTTGGGGATGTACTTACAGAAAAGGTTTGGGTGACTATTGACTTGTAGTGTTCGTTAGCTACATTAGCCTGGTAGCTCCAGCGCTGAAAATAAAGAAGCAACATTTGGACGCTAAACATGTCTTAGCTGATCTGGGTCTCTGTGCAGGACACTGGAGTTCCTCCACACCAAACTCGTCAAACCAATATTATTAAATATCTTTGTTTTTTTAGGTTTTTTGGTTTAACTGTACAAAACTGAATAAAGATAAACATTATCAAAGATCATAAAGGGTTAAAAAAGCAGCTAAAAGTCTATGTTTTCAAAATATACTTTAATAATACCCATAAGTTACATCTGCATACTGCATTATTTCTCTGAGTGTTCATATGTGATAAAGTCACTTACTTACAAAAACTGTCAGACTTTATTTTTTTATTGAAAACAGTGTTTAAAAGTGTGGAGTGACCTTTTACATTTAACCAAATATGGTTTTTGTTTGTTTTTTTTTACATATGACTTCTAGTCCTGTGTTGAAATGCACTTTAAAATGTTTTACTGTGAATGCTTTTATATTTTAATGGTTTTATTCAAGTGCACATTTATATATACACTTACAAAACAAACGGAAGATTTGTTGGGTATACAGCACTGTGAAAAAGTCACTGACCCCCCTTCATTTATTTCACTTACAGTCAAAACTGCCATCA